TCTTGCAGGATCATTTTAAGCAGCTACTAACATTCGGCTCAGCACTGTCTTGCCAGCATACACCAATGGAGGTCGGAGCAAAGCAACAGAATACGAGAGACAGCCAAAATTTGCACATAACTCTTTCTCTGTTGCCATTTTGGGACACAAACGCCATCTGACAGTCGTAGCAATTTTGAAGTACTACCTCGCAAAAGAGAGTAGTCCAGAGTGCAGAAGCGCAAAGCGCAGATGACATGCTTTACATAGCCGTCTGTATCAGTTCTCGACAGCTATATGAGTGTGCGATCTGTGTCAGATGCAGTCGAAGCATGGTATTTTCATCCATTGGTTTCATGTCAAGTGCGAGCGCCTCATGTGTACTAAGCATATCCTTTTCGTGTCTCAAAACTACTGGCATTCTAACCATAAAAAGGATAACTGTGGAGTTACATGTGTATCCATCGTTCTCTTCTCCTTGGACATGGTATTGCATCCTTTTGATTTTGTTCTAGAGTCCAGGAGGATCGGCCATGGGATTGGTCTCGTATAGTTTTAATATATCGAAGGCGGGCAAGGAGCCCCCGAGATATGAAAAAGAGAAAGAGAACAGAACTCAGATGTGTGTAGGTTCCTCGTATCGTCGAGACGGACATACTTCTTTAGAGTTGTGCATTTTGATTGTCAATTGCCCTTGGATGAATTCCGTTCTCAGCTCGCGCCAGGACATAATTCAACGCCCTCGATTTTTTTGGTAAGAATACATGAAAGAGCATCTCAATATTTTGAGTTGGAGACCGAGCAGCTTAGGGTGATAAGAGGAAGACTGTGAGGAACAGGAACGGGGTTTTATATATGTGAGCGGTCAGTGCGCTATGCTAGCTTCGTCATACAAGTTATGGCCAAGTATGTTGCGGACCAGCTATTCAGCATCAATACATATCAGCGAACACCATAGTGTTGGCGCATAATTAGTGACTGTCTGAGCACTCTCAAACCATCACATGACATCCTCGTGTTTTTGAAGATGAACACATGTGTTCATTTATTCGACAACGGCACATCTAGTCTCTTTGGTCTTCTCCATGCAAAGCTCCAGTACGTGTTTCTAACCCGTATTTTCCGACCAGAACATCGAAGCTTGTTATTTGAACGTTGCAGCGTACACTCAAACATACGTTCAACATGTCTCGAGTTCCTGCTCACACACAGGGCGATCGCCTGTAGTTTTGATTTAAACAACGCAGAACACATAGCAACCCTCTCGTACTCTTTTGAACATGGAAAACCAATCGTAGGTATTTTTTTGGTGGGAAAATGTGAGTGTATGCAAGGAGAAGAGCAGTACCAGGTCGATATTTTATACCCGACCCAGCACTACTCACGCCATGTGATATAGCTGCTACATCTTTTGTGCATGAAAGTAAATACTCAGTCTCATCGAATCTTTTCTTTACGCTTTTCTCACACCGAAAACAAGGACATTGTGGAAGAGAGCGATGGCGAACACTTCCTAGCCATAGCCGCGTCGTTGACGTTTTTGGAATGCGCACATGGCATGTTGATCTGAAAATTTGGAGAAACCTCTGGCGGAGAACCCACAGACATATGCCTTGTGCAGTAGTTATTTTGGAGATTCGTCTTTTTAGAAAGTAGTAAAGGAATGAGAAGAGAAAGCGTCCTTCTCAGCATAGGATTTTCAGCAGTGCAGTTTTGAAAGCCAGGAGAAACTCCATATTGAGCGGCTTTGCTTTTTTGAATATGTTTCAGGTCTGAAAGATGGTATGAAAGTAAGGAAGCGGCACGCTGTGAGCTTATATATGCACCGTCAAAGGTCTGTGCGTTTATCTTCCGTGGAATATGTTAGTAGAGAATCGCTCGAATCCGACATCACCTGATCCAAGGTCTGCCTTCGCTGAAAACAGGACATTGAAAGAAATCTAAAGAGGTATCGTAGGTATCTATGCATCAGTAATCGTTCAAAACCATTCCAAGCATGCTCTGCCTCATCGCATAGCAACCACACAACTCGCTTGTGCCAAGCTTTTACACACTCATCACCCCCAACAGCCTAGACATCCCTCCAATTTCGACTAGTCACTCGCTCTCTCGTATCCAGCCTCGGGCCTCTACCCATCTCACGATACTCTCTCGCAAGCCCACCTCTATCACTTCCCTGATCGATCATCCTCACCGCCCTCCTCTCTTCCACAAATGTAGCAGGTTGTCCATTTTCATCGATACCCTTCCAGCTCCTGATATCATTGATCTCAGCTGAATTTGCGCTCTCCGAATCGGTATCATCATCTTCTTGTCTTCGGCGACTAGGCGGTGGAGTCATAGAACGAGTGCGTTCGAGTGCTCGTGAGCGGGAGACATGGCGAAATAGTGGCCGTGGTGGTCGTGGTGGTCGTTCAGGTGACAGAGGAGTGGGCGGGAGACGGGGTGTGCGACGTGCGGGAAGAGGAGAGATGTTCCGCACGAGTACCTCTTCAAACCGTCTTGAGGGCGGAGGAGAAGGTGAAATACGGCGCTGTCGATCAATGCGAATTTCCTCTTCGTACTCCCTTCTTGGAGATGGCGATGAGTGCCGTATACGGATCCTCTCGAAGTCCTGGGATAGTGGCTCTTGTGGAGGATCGTCTACAACCCGACTGCGGGAATACTCTCGGTAATGCTCGTACTTGTCGCCACTCGCCATTCGTTCGTCGGCATACCTTGATCTTCCTCTTGGCTCAAGTACTGGCTCTTCTTGCCTTCTTCCACCACCAAAGTGAACACGAGGTCCTCCGACTTCGACGCGCATGCTCTGCTGACTTTCGCGCATGGTATCTCTTCGCCTGTGGGAGGTTTCGTGCTCGGTGCCTAGGGGCTTCAGGATGCTCCGACTAGGTGAATCCAAACGGCGACGTGGCATAGAATCAGCATTGCTCGAAGTTTCATCCGACGCCTTGAGAAAGCTACGCTGCTCTGATCCAATCGGGTGGTACGGCCTCGGATGCGACATGAGACGAGCTTCCGCTTCCTCGTTTCGCCTTTCAGCCCGGAGGCTAACACGAATTGGAGATCTACTTGCACTCCTAGTCCGACGTTCCTGAGATTCGCTTCGATAAACAACTCTCGAAGATCTTGTCGGCGGCGGGGGCGACGGACTGAGCTCGATGATCCTTGAACTTGCCCGGCGCAGTGGACTTCGCTCGACCTTCCTGTAGGAGTGAGTACGGACAACGTCTGGAGGAGGCCACACCTCGTCAGATCTCGAGGTAAGACTGGGAAGTGGTGGAGGTGGCGCAGGGTACACTTCATCCGACCGTGTTTCTCTAGTGCGGACGATGTCAGGCGGGGGCCAAACTTCACCAGCATACCTGGAAGAGCGGCGAGGACTCAATGAGGAAGTTTTGAGCTTTCGTTCGGACCTAAACTCTTGTGTCGGCTGTTGAAGTACTCGCAGGCCCAGGCGCGCCTGACTAGACTCTCGTCTAACAACACGAGGGCGACTGGGAGAGTAACGCGTGACATAGATCTCCTCTCTATTTTGTCTCCGGCCCCTCCGCTCGTCATGGTCGATGTCGATGTGGACACATTCTCTAGGCCAGTCGCAGGGTTCCTCGGCCGTACATCTTCTGATGTATCTGTATCTGCTGCTTGAGCGATGCGCGCCTGCAACCTTCTTTTTGCACCTTCGACAGGGTGTGGGGATCATGGGCTTGTTAGGAAGGACCGGGTTGTTGCGATGGAAACCTGCGGAGCGCATCTCGCCGCAGTGACTGCAGGTGTGACAGAGCATAACTGGCACAGCTACTTCTTCTACCTGCGGAGGTGGTGCTTGCGCGGCATGTGATTGTCCGTATTGTTCGTAGTGGTATTGCTCGCTTGTCTGCCTCGATCTTGACTCCATGATCTCTTGCTGCGTGTTGCGTGACGACGGTACCATCGCGCTCGTAAGAGGAGCAGTTCGTCGACGTTCCATCCCAGAACCTGGATTGCTATACTGCCAGTCGGCGTTGTATCCTGGCGGAGGCGGTGGTCGTGCGTCGTAGCCCTGTGGAATATGAGCGTGCCCTTGTGGTCCAGCTACTGGCGGTGTCTGCTGTTGATCCTGTTGTTGTGACCGAGGGCTTAGGAGCGGTGGTGGGCGCTGTGGGATCCCCAGATGATTGTACACGCCCTGGCCGTATCCACCCTGCTGTGGGTATCCAGCCTGTTGAGGATATCCAGCTTGTGGAGGATATCCACCCTGGTATCCGGGAAAAGAAGCGACGGACGAGGCAGCTGGCGGAGGCGTGGGTGCTGCGGGAGGGACTCCGAGCCCTTGGAATTGCTACACGGTGGGTAAGCCAGGTTCTATATTTGCTGACGCACTACGCGCGGGCGTCGATGAGATGGGGCCGAACATGATTACGTCTATTCTTGCTGTCAGCCAACTTCTGGTCTCAGGCGACAATGGCGCACTTACACATTGTAAAGATACGAATTGGCTGGCCGGGCGAAGGAGCCGGGGTACTGAGGAATTGGCTGGCCTTGATCTTGGCCTTGCCCGTTACTGCCGCTGCCGCCAGTGCGGCCCATATACGACTCAAAGGCCCTTCTCTGTTCTTCGTTCGCCATGTTGTGGTTTGAGCAGGTGCGGACGTGCGACTCGAAGGCGGAGGGAAGGCGGAGGACTGGTCGTGGGTCCCACGTGGGCGACCGGGAAAGCGCGAGGAGGTGTTAAGAGGAAGGAGCGACAGAGAGAGATGTGGGGTAGACAAATGATGGTTAGAAAAGCATGTGAGAAAGCATGTCGACGAACTAGAGTCAAAGTGAAAGAGCAGACGCACAAGGAGAATTGCGCGACTGCGAAACCGCATCTCCGATCATGATAGTCAAACTCACCGCAACTCACCTCAAGGATACCAACAATGGGACTTAAATATTCTTTTATTTCTTCCCAGACGCCCGCCTGCGAACAATGCCAACATGGCTTCTTATTTGTACAAATGCTATAGATCTCTAGCAAGATTTTGATACGGCCACCGTATCTACTCAACTCTCAATACCCTAGGTCCCTTCCTCTTGGTGGACCGCTTCTTCTTGTGGCCCTTGTCGAACGATACGGCGCTTTGATGGTCGCGACCAAAGTTGTCAAGATCCTTGACCTTGTAGATCCTGATGATCCAGTTCTCGCTAGTAAAGGCCTCCTCGATGGTGCTGAGCTCGGGGCCCTGTGCGGGAAGACGCGCGCCACGGACACGGTCCTGGGCTTGTCCGGCGGGGAACAGCGCGTTGTAGTTGTAGTAAGACATCTTGTACCTGATATGCTGTTAGTAGCTGCTGGAGTTGGTGGGACTAAATCACTTACATCAAGCTGTTCTTCATGGTGGGGGTGGCCTCCTCGTCCACACGGTACTCGCCTCGTGGAGTGAAAAAGTTGCGCTCCTTGACCTCATCGGGCCAGATACCCTCGGCAATCCTGACCATCCAGAGGAACTTGTTGATGTCGTCTCCAGAGTAGCCAAGAAGACCGCCAAAGACGACCAATACGTAGTCGACCTCGTGTTGACGCATGATGGGGTAGCTGACCTCCTCCCTGGAGCTCATAGCCTTGCCGACGGTAGCAATGTGCGTGTTGTTCCAGGTGTTGTTATCGACAAGGGTAGGGCGGTCGGCCATACCACCAATCTGGTATCCGTAGTCCCACCACGACATGATCTTCGCGTTCTGAGGGGTGTTCTGCCTGAGCCAGTAGTATGCCTCGCGGTAGTCATCGATGATGTGCTGGCTGCCGTCGGGAAGTCTGGATGCGAGCACGACGGAGGGCGAAGAGTAGGCGTTCGAAGTGACCCATGTGCAGTGCAGAACGAACAGCATGAGGTAGATGGCGGCGGTTCCGGCGACGGTGAGCTTGGAGGCATACGAGTAGATGCCGACGAGCGGGTTGCGTGTAGATCGGAGACCCTCGGGAAGGATAGCTGCAGCAGCGACTGCAGCGGTATCGGTGCTGCCGTTCTCGGTGACGGGCTTGGGGGTCTTGACGTCAAGGTAGGTGTCGAGAATCTGCGAGAAAGCGATTGCCGATGCAACGCAGACAATGGGAGTCAAAGTGAGCATAAGACGGACCATGACACCAGCGAAGTAACTGGCGAGCACAGCGTAGATGACAATGAAGACCTGCTCGTCGGTCAAAGTGCGGAAGCACAGGTAGACACCGGCGGGGAAGAGCCAGATCATCATGTTGAGATCGAAGAAGAAAGCGGGCCATGCGGTAGGCTGATGCTCGGAGACGGAGGCGATGATGGGAATGTGAATCTTGGCGTATCCGGTATCCCAGAGCGAGTAGAAACGGCCAGTCCAGGGCGCAATGACACCAGAGACGGTAAGAAGCACCAGTCCTCCGACACCGATGAGGAAGACACTCAGAACCAGAGCGCGGAGCAGCGTCTGGAACTGCTTGCCGGGAAGCTGTGCGCGAACCCAGTCGACAAAGGCCACCAGCTGGAGCAGGCCAAAGACACCGAGCGCGGACATGTGCTCGCTACTGCGGATGGGCAGGAAACCGACGAAGGGGATCTGCATGCTCGCAAGCGTGCCAAGCGCATACCACGAAGTATAACTGACATACAACCTCGGGCTGTATCGTCCCATGCAGATCAAGACGAAAGCGTGCAGGGGCAGCAAGTTGGTGATGAAGACGTATCCACCCCACGCTGACACCATGTATCCGTAGAACAGCGCAGTCAATGCACCCCAGAACATGGATCCGAGCTTGACTGCCTTGATCCACAGGAAGAAGGTGAAGACGAGCAGGAAAATGGCAATGGCCTCGTTATCGTAACTTCCTGCGACGGATCGCGAGATGTAACCGGGGGTGATGCCCATGAAGGCTGCGGCGAGCAGACCGGCCGAGGGCGACGGGACCATCTCGGAGGTCAGGAGGTACGTCGCGAGCGCAGTAAGACCTGAGAAGGCAGGCGCGAGGAGGACACAGATGTTTCGAATGTCGACGGGCATGGCGAGAGCGCGGAGGGCGTGGTAGATGACACCGCTGGTGACCATCAGTCCGGGGTAGAGAGTACCACCCGTGACTCGTCCAAGAGGGTGCCATGTTCCTGCATTCCATGTCAGTCCATTGTAGCTATATGGCATCGGGGCATGCGGCGGAGATGCGTACGGTCGTCGAACCAGTCCCAGAAGCTGTAGAAGCCATTCTGTACCAGGTATTTCGTCGCTCGGAAGTTGAACCACGGATCGACTGCATTGCATAGTCAGTCAATTGCCCTTCCATTCCCCAATTGTAGTACTGACACTCGTGGATGATGCTCTCAAAGCGGATTACGGAGAACAGACGACTGCTTACGGCGGCGGCAGCGATGAGGCACAGGATAATCACTCGAAGCAAGCCTCGAGTGTTGCGGCCGGTCGCCTGCTTGAGCAGCTGCCCGTCATCTACGGCGGCAGCCATGTTTGCAGGAGAAGTTAAGGAAGGTGAGGTTGATGGTCGCAAGGCCGCGTCACGGAACTTCTCGAGAGCTATGCTTCATGAGCACACGTTTCCAACTCCACGCCTCGGCATTTGGTTTCGCCGACCTTCAACACCCCTGCAACGTCATCACCATCACCATGTCCGCGACAGCCACGGCGCGCCATTAAGCATACAACATTCTTCGACTTTGCATCAATTCACATATGCGAAAGTTTTCTACTGGGTATCTGGATCTTCGCTAGGAAATATACACTAGTCTCCGCAGAAGAAATCCATGAAAGCCTCCGTTTCTTCAACACTGCAATTGGCGCATACGCGATGTGAGCAGTCGGCGCAAGCAACATCTACAACACCGCAAGGGTTCTGACATGCGCACTGTGCTTGTTAGCACTGTTACAAACAGCTGAAACAGATAACTTACACAATAGCGATTCATTACCGTGGTCGTTTGTCTTCGCTTTGGGTGTCGTTCGTCATATACCGAATCTTCTGAACGTTGTCGTTTTACTGCAGTTCCTAGCGCGATATCACCTGCAAGTGGCGAGGGTCGCATCGATGCATAGCTTGACATCAGCATACTGGGCATGTCGTTTGGAGGAGGAGGATGCGGCTGTCGCGGCTGTGGAACATCGTCATCCACGTCTCCGGTAGCATCCACATCGCCGTCCTTTTCCCTCTCGTCCTCATCGTCAAAGTAGTCTCGTTTTTTCTTCTCTTCTAGCAGCTCTTTCTTCGGTCGGTTCTCTTCAGCACAGATCCAGTCATCGATATTTCTCCTCTCCTTCTCGAAGTGACGCGCGATGTGATCAAACCGCTCATCCCAAGCTGCATTGCGTCGCTCTTTGAGTCGCACTATATCTTTGCACAGGCCACACCAGAAGGTGCCTTGGCAGTTCTTGCCAATCCTGCGGAGGTTGACACGCTCTTGAGCAACTTCACACGCCATCTTATGCTCCCTCTCTAGGTGGTTCTTGAATGCTCCTTCGCGGTATAGATGCACACCACAGACCTGGCCTGTCTGAAGTTCTTCGCCGCAGCGGAAGGCTTCCTGCTGGAAATGCTGACTGTTCTCGTGGCGCTTCCAATCTGACTTTGCGCCAAAGCGTTTGTGGCACTTGGGATATGTGCATCCATAAGGCCTGTTGTGTCGCTTGATGTGCTTACGCAGATCGCAATCACGAGCGACCGCAAATTCGCAGCCAGACATCGGACATGTCTTGTCATTGTTTGAAGAGCTCTTGCTGGAGCGACGCTGTTCTGTGTCGGGGGTTCTTGGGCCTTTGTTAACAAGCTCAGCCATCATCTTTAACAATGCATCATTCTTCTCAGACTTGGACGGCCTCCTGGATCTATCGTCGCGATTGGCTTTTTGCAGAAACTCTAGTATGCGACTCTCAATATCCACAGGCTCCGGTGAATGCAAGCGCTGTTCAGACTTCCTCTTGAGCTCTAGCGCTTGCTGCTCAACCTTAGTCTGGGGTGCATTGGATAAAGAAGAACCCTGTGAGGACTTTTGAATCTTGACATGGTTACTTCCAGACGCGCCAGGAGCGGCCTTGATAGTGGAGAGAGCATCTTGTATCCCCGGTGCATTGTGCCGAGAACGAATCATCTTCGACGTTTTCTGAACACGACTGTTGTGTGGTGCGGAAGTAAACCCAGGTCCAGAGAGCCGAGATGTTGGCTGTGCTTTAGGCACAAACAATGAGTCCTGGCTTGGCGAAGATAGGTATCTGGCATCCTGTATCATGGGAAAGTCCATCATAGAGATGTTGCCCATCGTTGGGCTTATGGAGAAGGGAATCTCCATGCCAGCTACTGTTGACCCAATGTCCAGGGGTGTAACAGTCGTTTTACCCTCTATAGGAGAGTCGACTCGCCTGGGACGCCATACCGATCTATCAATATCAGCTTAGCTGACTCTTCAAGCATGAAATGTGCAAATCTACCTTTCTACGAGATCGAGTACGTTCTCATCTTTGTGCATCCTCTCAACATGCTGCTTGAAGTTGTCTAGGCGTGGCCAGATCTTCTCTTTGTTCCTACAGTCCTCCACTGCACACTGATAAGACTTCTTATCAATGTCCTTCCGATGTAGGCTTTTCTGATGCCGCTCAAGATCGTTCGTAGTTGTGAAGCCTTCTACTCTTTTGCAGCCGGCTACGTCACACTTGAAGGGTTTGCTGTGTTTGAGCATGTGTTTCCTGTCACCTTCATCAGCACATGGTCATCTCATAGTGATGCCCATACGCACTTGAACTCTGAGTTGCATTTGAGTACTTCTGGGCACTCATAGCATGGGAAGTCTTTCTTTGACCTGGACCTCCCACTACGACTGCTGACGTGGGATCGCTGATCTGAAGGCATCCGTGACATCGTAGGAGCCTCGCTTGTGGCAGACTCGACATGCATGTTGTTAACATCTGACATGAAACTTGCCGATAATTCCTGGTTGAAACAATCGGGCTCATTGCTTCTGACCGACTTAGTGTTCCGCGAAACGTAACCCTCGTCGGATGGCAAAGCCTGACTATCAACGTCAGATCCCGGACCCCATGGGAACTGGAAATTCACATTCGATCGAGGAGAAAGATCATGAGAGCTACCAGACTGAGATTGCCTCATATTGTACGGACTCCATGCTGGCTCCGGTCCTCTACTGGCAGTCGAGCCATGATAAGGCCGTACATATTGTGGATCGAGAAGGTCAAAATCCCTCGGCATATGGGATCCAATACCATTGTCCAACGGAGAGAGATCGATCTGACGATAGTTCATGCGATAGAAATCTCTTGCATGTGGAGTAGTTCTTGGAGTATGTAAGGAGGCTGATGAGCTAGATCTTTGGCTCCGTACACTATGTGCACTCCGTGGTTGTTGGGAAAACGTGCTCTGCTGCGTCTGCACAGGATCAATGTGCAGTGCAGGTATCTGGCGGCCATAGTATTGGTTGGGAACTGAAATGCTATAAGACTGTTGACAGTCCCCGTTCTGGTTGTGGAGTGACATGTTCGCTATCATGGGTCAGCATCTTTCGGGGCTGCCTCAGGCATCACCATGCCACCCAAATTCATCCCAACCAGCTTTCGAACATGGAAAGAGGCATCGTCATCGTACAAGCATCAATGTATGAGTAGAGACAAGAAGAGAAATGAGTGTATAGAAAAGGCAACAACAACACATACCTGTAATCTCAACTCGTCAGCCTGCTGCGATATGGAAGCCTTACGCCTGCCTCAAGGAACGCCGTACGCAAACCGTTTCAGAGGAGCAGGCGCGCAGCTGTGCATTAGTAGATTCCAGCTGCAGCACACCGCCCCAATCTGCTAAGATGACAAGCCAGATGGGTACATGTAACAGGTAATGTGTGTGAGGTCCTCCGTTTCGTGTCCCATGCGCACGGGCATGCGCTGCCTGCCGGTGAGATGTGAGGAAAGGCTTCAATACCAAGACGCTGTCACCTCATCGCGTGCACTTGCCCTGCACTGGCTGTATCGGAGGACTTCGATTCGAGATGGGTAAAAAGGGCACTGTAGTATGTCGTCACGGGTTCTTTCCACACGCAGTGGTTATCGCAGTTGTATGCCTGTGATCGCGATGGCGAGGGTGCGCCGCATGTGGGCGGCCTCCCAGTCCTCCTCGCGCAGGGGCGCTACCAGGAAGGCGACCGGTGCCCTCTTTGCCCTCTTTCTCTTTCTGACAGCTCATTCGTGCTGGGGATGCACCTAGCGAGCCGTTCACCGAATTGCAGATGGAGGACTCCAAGTTGCGGGTGGCTGTGTCGAGAGTCCTCCATGTGCGTGGGAGACGCATGCGGCCAATCACAGCCTCGGACCGGGTTCCTCCCCGGCGGCGCGATCGATTTAGCACGCCGCGCTGATGTGTGTATGACAGGGCGCGGGGGCTGAAAGTTTGAAAATAAGTCAGGCATTGCACTCGCGCAACGGAGTTTTACTGGCGCTGGCGATGGCTGCTGTGCAATCACGCCCTTGTGGAGTGGAAGGTACCTAGGGGCTTTAAGTGGGTCGCAGCTTCCAGTCTACGATGTATCTCACCAATGGTACTATATCGTATGGAGCGGACAACAGAATAGGGAGAATCGTGGCATTGAAAAATTGATGCAATTAACGCGCCGATGTCTATAGTACCATGCATGCCTATTGCACCATCAGATGCGACAATGTAGTCGATCCAATTCGAATCCGAAGCGACAGTAGGTATCGTAACGCGTCTAAACCAGATTCGCCTCGTAAACATGAAAACCTCTTCCGCTGTGCAAGAGTGGATATCGTACGAAATCAACGTGAGCCAAAACAAAATCAGATCCTACGCCTATCCTATGGGCGTGTCGATCGAAACCCCTCCCATAATCCATCCCCGTCTATTGTTGATGTTGGTATTGATAGTTGTGTTGTGCCGTCAGATATGACATCGCAGGGTAAGTGCTGCCTTGCTGGTAAGACATAGCGTTGTTGGTATCGTAACCCATATTCGGCATCTCAGTCGTCAAGCCCTGCGGCTCTTGGGTGTAGTAGGAAGGAAAAGGTGTAGTCGTAGCGTCGACCGGAGAGTCCGTGTACAGCGATTGCTGCTGTTGAACGGTATTAACAGGATTCATGCCATATTGTTGCACCCCATTCTGCATATTCCCATTCTGGTATGGCTGACTAGGAATCTGCAGCCCGTTGGTATAGCCATTGTGTGGCTTCCGAGGGACCTGGAGGCCTGGGTAGGTCTGGTTCGTGAAATTTGTGGCATTGTTTGCCACATAGTTCGCATAACCGCTAGTCTGAGTCGGTGGCGGTGCCATTTGCGGTGGGGGGTAGGTTTGCATCGGCGTAGATCCTGCCTGAGATTTTGTTTCCTGAGGGTAAAGACTGTGAGGGTCGATACCAGGTGCATATGCGGCATTAGGATTGTAGCGCGACGGGTTATCTAGTGGCAAACGGCCTGGAGTGATGGAGAGCTTGCGGCTTTCGGGTAGCTCTACCACGGGGCTAATGATGCTGTCCGCGTTGAGCTGCTTCTGATCCACAAGCGTAAGAATGGGCATGCTGAGCTGCTCCATGTGTTTTGCCAAGTGAACAGTCAATTTCTTCCAGCTCGTACAGATGTTGCCACAGAACCGGCATGGCTCGTCCTTGGGTTGCTTAGTCGTGTCGCGACGACATCTTTCGACAATGGCCCAAATGTCATCTGCCTTTGCGTTAGCGAGATCTCAAACATTAAGACTTGCTCATCTGACCCTGGTCACCAGTTACTGTCGCGTCTTTGTGAGCGGCTCGGGTACGTTGCCGTGGCTCAGCTATCTTGTGCTCACGAACGAGATGCTGCACGAAGTTGTCCTTGCGATAGCAGGTATGGTTGCAATCTGCAATCTGACATGTCCAGTTCTCCAGCTGACGGTGTCGCTCGTTCTCGTGTCTGACCCAGTCCGCCTTGCGCTTGAACGATTTCGGTTCCCCGCAATTGGGGAAGGTGCACGTGAAAGGCTGTACGTCTTCATGCACATGTTTGGTCCAATCGGACGGCTTGTAGAACTTTTTGACCTTGAAACACAACGTGCATTCGAACTCGGCCGGCAGGCGCTTGACAGGGGGAAGAGGTACACCTGATGGGAACGCGGCAGGAGCCACATTACCTTCTAGCGGGGGCTCGCCATCATCGTCGGAAGAACCAGGTGCAGTGACCTGGAAACCGATGAAAGGAGTTTCGGCATCCTTGGCGCCAGCTTTCGGAGGAAGTTGCTTCGCTTCACCACCGAGGTCAGTACAAAACTTTGCAGAGGCACAATTCTTATGCTGTACGGCGTTGAGATGCTTGACCTTGAACTCCAATAATCTCTTGTATCTGCGCATTTGCTCCTGGGTGATACGCTCAACCATGAAATCAGCCAGGCGTGGGTTAAGTTGTCTAGCATGAGTTCTGAAGCCGTCGTACGTTGGGACGATGGGATCGGTGCGGACCGTCAGATCCATACTAACGGGGTCTTGGTCATCGTCATCATCGTCTCCAGCTGGACTTGGCTGTGCGGAAGGCTTCGTGGCCTCTGTGTCCGCGAGCGGTGAAGCTAACATAGGCATCGGTGGACCTCCGTGCTGCGTCATCAGCTCAGCCAGCCCAGGCGATCTCCCTCTCCCGATATCGCTCCTGCTTCGAGTACGTCTGATGGCATTTTTGGGACCTTTGTACCACGGGCCCGCTGCCGCAGACAGACCTACTGAACTAAGTTGTCCCCCGTCCTTGCTATGACTGCTTAGGTTTGTATCAACTCGAGGAGATTTTGGACGACCCCAACTACCTATACGTTTCGGCTTCTCCATGATGGGCTCCTTGGACTTGTCCGAGGCTGCATCAGACTGCTGCACTGGTATACTGCCCTTGCGCTTGAGTATATTGCTTGGTGTACGTTTGGGTAGAATGTTTTCCAAGAAGCTGGGCCGCCGTTGTCGCTCCTTGCTCTTTCTTGGCTCGGGTTCGATAACTTTGATAACACCGGGAGCTGCACGTATGCTACCAATATCAGACTCGCTGAGACGGCGTGAGCCAACGGTTGCCGCAAGTGAAGCTTGTTCAACGTCCTTCGCTCGCACCAAGAAGCGCATCATCGCAGCATTGGATGTGGGCGGCTGATATCGAGCCGATGGGTTTGGCGGGTGTGGCTGCAACGGTCCATCTACCCATGGCTTGACAGCAGTACCATCCTTTGGTATAAGTTCTTGTGTCGGAGGAAAGTACGAGTTCTCTATATGGCTTGCGTTGATATCGATCGCAGCGGGTGGGGATTCAGGTTCTGCCGACTCGTCATCGTCGTAATCGTAGTCCCCGTAATCGCTTCGTTCGTCAATGTACACCCCAGGTCCAGGTATACCCGAATCATCTATACGGTCGAAATTGGTACGCACACCCAGACCGAAGCTATCTGGGAGAACCCGGCGTTGAATGTCGTTGTGACTCTTCGCTCGACGACGACCCGT